TTAAAATAACCAGAGCTCCAGCAGGCAGAGCGTGGGAAAAGGTGTTGGAGGCACAGGGACTCTCCTTCTGAATACAATCAGGTGACGGGAGCCAAATGGTTAATTCACTCAGCTGCTAAGCCAAAGGTGGGACATTCCAGTCCCACGGGGCCTAGGGAGAAAGGCCTGGCCATCTCCTTCCGAAAACCCAGAAAACCCGACTACTCACTCGGACCTACCAGGGTCCTGGTGGGTTTGCAAGGCAAGGACACAAGGTGGCTTCAAGGGAAGGCGATGGGATGGAGGACAAAGGGGGGGTGGTCCGCAGATGGACGTCAAGGGCCAAGCTGCAGATAGGTCTTCGACCACCACAAAGGGAGAGTTTGGGGGGGACGGGCGGGGGCAAAGGGTCACCAGCCCTGGAGAGGAGGAGTGGCAGAGGACCAGCCCTGGGGACCAGAGGTGAGTGTGCAGGGATGCCTGGACTGGCAGGTGCCCTGGGCACCACTTGAGGGGGGGACGGCGCCAGCCAAAACTCATCATTTATTTCTATCACCAGCTGTGAGAGATCATTCAACAATGGAAAAGGCACAGCCAGCGGTGCCTCTGTGGGAGATCAATGGAGCGGGATTAAAGGCAGGGGGTGGGAGGGGCCTGCGGGGGAGCGCTGAGCCTCCCCGAGGGCTTTCCCAGGCTGCCATCTCAGTCACCTGCACCCTCCAGCACACTCCCTTGACCTTCCCTTGAACCGCGCCAGGAAATCGCCACAAAATCCCTCACTCCCATAAATTAACGAGGATGACCACGGTATCAGGGACAATTTTTTTGTGGGGGGAGAAAACCAACAGCACACGACCTTCCCTTGAACCCCATCAGGAAGGCGTCAGGAAATCCCTCACCTCCCCTAAATTTGAGATGATCACAGCATCGAGGGTACTTTGGGGGACAACAACAGGGCCCCGCGCAGCTGTCTATGCCAGTGGGGGTCTTTAGCACCCCCTGGCGGGGAGGGGAGGCGGGGGAGGGGGGGGAAGTCATATGAATGATACCACCACACGGGTCTCCTTAATCAGTTCTGCGCTGTGAGACAACAGGGCACCCCCTCCCAGGGAGTCTGCTTTCTGTGTATTTGAGGACCTCTGGCCCATCTTCCAGGGGTTCTGGGGACGCAGTAGGTGGGATGGCAGGGAAGAGAGGTGGGAGGGGGCGGCAGAGAACGCCCCTCTGGTAACACACCTGTAGTCACTTCCAGGTACAAATGCCTCCCTGGCAAGTCAGAACGGGGTGTATCTACCAGACATAACTCACCCCCAGCCTTCCCAGCCAGCCTCTGAGCACCAAGCTCCAACCTGATGAAAACCAGCTTTTAGGAGCAGCTATGATCACAGGATGCTCCCCATGGTGTGCACCCCAGACCCAGGAACTTCTGAGACCACCGATGTGCACCACTTGACCCCACTGGCCACATACAGAGAGGCGCGCTCCTCAGAACCTGTGTTCTGAAGTTTGGGTCCCCTCCACGCCTGCTTCTTAGCTGGCTCATGCCCTAGGCTGGGTTCGGGGGTCATCTCGTGGGTCACCGCATTGAGCCTTCGCAGCGACTCCCCGAGGAGGCACTGCCATCCCACTGCCATCTTCCAGCGTGGGCACCAGAGGCTCTGAGAGGTGAGGGCCTGCCCAGAGCCATGCAGCCCACGGTGGGGGTGCTGAAGCGACTCCCCGAGGAGGCACTGCCATCTCACTACCACCTTCCAGTGTGGGCACCAGAGGCTCTGAGCGGTGAGCGCCTGCCCAGAGCCATGCAGCCGACGGTGGGGGTGCTGACATCGCACCCTGAATGTCGGACCAGGGAGAGCTGCCTCATGGCTGCCGTGCCCACGTCCAGAGCTGCCTCAGTTGGGATTAGGGTGAGGGAAGCCCCAGAGCCCAGTAATCAAGGTATTGGAAAAAATCCAGACGAATGCCAGGATTCCTAATGAGCAAGACCACCCCTCTGACCAGAGGTTTGGGATGGGCAGGGGTGGGAACTAGCGGGGGTGTTGTGAGTCTCCTGGAGCTGGGTTAGACCTCGCCCACCATGTCCTCCTTTCTTGACGCTCTTATGAAACCCATCTTTGCTGCTTTCTTCTCTTTTAGTTAAACCCTGAACAAAGAGTGGAGCCACCGGGTAAGAAAGATTCCCACATGGAGCAGAGAGCCACCTGGTAATGAATGAACGCTAGCTCGCTGCACACCCCTGCTGCTGCTCCTGAGGGGCCTCTGTAGGAGATCCCAGGTTCTCTCCTGAATGGGGGGGACCCCAACCCAAAACTGAGCCTAAGAGGGGTGCAGGGCATTCAGCCAGGTTCTCTTGGAGCAACCAGCCCCTGAGCTGACTACTCCCTAATGCAGTACCCCATACCATTCACTGAACTACGGAACGATGAATGAGATTTTCCCCAAGCTCAGGAGGCTCTGGTTGTGCCCATTCCTTCCCAATGCCCTTGGCTCGTGGTTCCCTGGAAGGTGTCTGATGCAGCCTTTGGAAAGGGCAGAGGGGAGGGGAGGCGGCTCTGTGGAAGGAAGGCTGTTCCACCAGACGCAGCAGCCAAGTCCTGAGGTCCTTGGAGAGGAGAAACAGAAAATGCTCCAACTCTCGGCACGCCTCCAAGCAGGCAGGGGTGGAAATTTAGCCAGCTGGGGATTGAAAGGGCCCAGCTAGGTAGCCAGGGAACTCCCGGCAGTGTAACGGTTAAAGTGCTCCACAGCTAACTCAGAGCTTATCCGTTTGAATCCTCCGGCTGCTCTGCTGGGAAAAGGGGGGGCAGGCTGCTCCTGGAAAGGTGCACAGCTTTGGAACCCCGGCAGGCAGCTCTGCTCCGCCGGACAGGATCCCTGAGTGAGAACCGGCTTGGCGGCCGTGGGTGTTCCCATTTGCCCTATTCAGCAAAGGAGCCCTGGTGGCGCAGTGGTTAAGTGCTCAGCTGCTAAGTGAAGCTCAGCGGGGTTGAGAGAACGGTGGAAACCACAGTGGGGCAGTGCTGCTCTGGCCCGCAGGGTCGCCGTGAGTTGGCATCTGGCCTGCAGGGTCGCCGTGAGTTGGCATCAGCTGGGCAGCACACTCACAGCAGCTCTGGTTTATTAAGCAACCAGGGTGGCGCACATAGTTCATGTGCCCGGCGGCTAACCAGAGGTTAAAGGTTTGAGCCCACCCAGGGCCCCTCAGAGGAAAGGCCTGGCATTGGCGTGTGCAAGGCCGGCCATCTGCAGCATGGCTCTGCTTGCACACGCACCGGGGCTTGCTACGAATCGGAAGCCCTCGGATAACAACTGGCATGGCGGTTAGGGTTTCTAGTTAGGAAGCAGCAGGGGGGCAAGTTGTGAGGATCGCACTCTAGTCGAACACTTTCAGGGGACCTCTTGGAGCACAGAGACTAAATCTCACTCCAGAGTCAGGGCTGAACTTGAAGTGCCGCTGGTGGGGTGGGCAGAGCCTGCCATCTGAAGGCCTGATGGGAGCTCACTTTTAGGCTCACCTGGGACTGAGGGGCTTCCTGGGGCCTGGGGACCAGGCACAAGCCAGTCAGTCGGTTCCAACCCCCTCTAGCCGTGCTCCCTCCAGCGTCCAGCGTCTCAGTTCGCCACGCTTACAGAACTGAGATAACAGAGCTTTCTCGAATGTGGACACATCGCCGGGGAAGACCAATCGCTAGACAAGGACTTGGTTGGTAAGACGAGTGGACGTAGACATATCCATGGTGGCACAGGACCGGCCAGTCTCCTGCTCAGTGACACGCAGGGTCCCCCCCCCAACCACCCACCTTGTGAACTTGTGAGAGCCAATGGGGGGGCTTGTGTTCCCGGCAGAAGCTCCCACCTCAGAACGCCTCCTGCCCACTGGAACGGCCATTCAGGCCTCTGTTTCTTCTCCTCCCAGACTGAGTGCTTGCAGGGCAAGGCCACCTATTGCGTCTCTTTGCTTGCCTTCTCTTGCTGGTCCAGCCTCCCGGGGCCCAGAAGTGTGGGGGACACAGACCCCTTCCCCCCACAGTGAGAGAATCTTAGCACTCTGAGTGTCAGGAACCCCAGGTCCACTTAGTCTAGTCTCCTCCACTGTCCGCGCGTCATGGTCACGGGGCAGCTGGAGAGGGTGCGGGACCTTCTGAAGGTGACCCAGCTAGGAACGGGATGGTCAGTTGCTGCCCGGCCACCTACCTGAACTCTCCTTTTTCCGCCGGCTGGACTTCTTCTCCGTCTCGTTGGCAGCGTTCCCCAGGACCTCATAGTCGTCGTCGCATGGGCCTCCCAGGGCGTCTACCATCTCCCCGGAGCCCCCCGCTGGGCCCGGGGTGAGCCTGCGCCGAGCCTCGGAGACAGGGAAGTGCCAGTCGGGGGGCTGCGGAAAGGCAGGGTGCTGCTCGGCAAAGCCTCGCCCCTCCAGGGGCAGGCTGTGGGGGGTGGCCGCCAGACAGGAAGCCGAGAAGTCGGGGTACGCTGCTGTCGCTGCCGGCGGGAAGTCTGGCTTCTGGTGGAAGGAGAATGGGGTGGGTGGGTAGTGGGGGAGCCCCAAGGTCCCATTGCCTTCTGAGTGGGGGTTTCGAAGGCAGCTCCAGACAGGGGCCGGGGGGTGGGGGCTCCGCATGCAGCTGCTGGCAACAGGGTCCATCTGGTCGGGCGGTGGGCCTCGCTCCGAGGCGTGGCGTTCTCTCTTGACACTTGTTGGACTCAAAAAAGTTTAAATGCAAAAAAAAAAAAAAATCATAAAAATCAACAGGAGAGGGGAAAAAAAGTTCCACGGAAAAGTCCCCCAAGGATTCGAAATGACACCCCAAAGGAAAGTCTCTGCCGAGGGCCTGTGCCCACGTGGCCAGCACTGCCCGTGGGGACACACACCTACGTCGGACTTCACGCCTTGCCTCCTGCCCCCCCAGCACACCAGCCTGCCTAGAGGGGTCCCTTGTACATGTATTTGTCGCCGATGACACTGAACATGGTCACTGGCCCAGCCCGGCCCCTGGCTGATGAGGAACGGACTTTTCCTGGTGCCTGCCTGGAGCCAATGCCTGCAGAGGGCCGGCCGGCTCTGTGAGCGCTGGCCCAGAGACACTTTTAAATCCTGCCGTCAGGAGAGAGTGACCCATTCAGAAGTGAAATGTGAGAGCGCGAGGGAGGGGTCAACCTGCACACACGCAGCCTCCTCCAACCAAAACCGAGCAGGCAACTATTAATCATCAGAAACCTTATATGCACAGCTAATGGGATTTGCAGATGGAGACTTTTAAAGAAACACTGTGTTTTTTTATTTTTTATTTTCAGGAGCCAGAGCAGCGCTCACACACAACCTCTTTAATGTGCCTCCGGTAACACTAGGAAGCTATTTTTATTGCACTGTTAACAAAAATTCCCTGCGTCTTGGATTTGGAAAAAGCCTTAAGTCAGATCCAGAATCCATCAAATGCCAAATCCCCGGGCGCGAAGCAGAGGGCGAATAAATGCAAGAGACAAGCTTGCTGATGGCATTTGATTTAAAGACCCTTCTCCAGCTGCCTGCAAAAAAGAGGAGGTGGACGACCGAAGTCTCCTTCTTTTTCGTGGTCCCCAGCAAGGTGCCCTGCAGCAGAGCGCCACTGGCTTCGCCCAGGGTGAACTCTCACTTTCTCAGTAACTTAACGAACAACCGGATGCTTCCTTCCGCTCTTTAACCTCCAACTCAGATGCCAATTAGCCACACTCTTCTCTAGAGAGGCTTCCAAGTCACGCCCTCTCTGTGGGCGAAGGCAAGGCTCTTAAGGAAGGCCCTTGAAGTGCCTTCAGCCCCGCCCTCCCCCCCACCTGCTCCCTGCCCCTTCACCTCCACCCACCTGCTTCCTTTGCTGACCCCTGAGGCCCCGGCCTTTGTGGAATCTGGGGGCACGGAGATGGGATTCAAGCAGATTCTTCTTCTTTGTTGTAACACAGGTTTGCCAGCAACGTGACCTTCATGGGGCAGCGTGGGGGCACCGATGGCTTCCACGGGCCTGTGGGGCCAGGACCAGCCAGTGACTGCTCCGCTCCCCATCCCCAGAAACAGAAGCTGACTGCTTCTCAACCCACGGCCCCCAGTGGGAGGGTCGCCGGGGTTTTCCTGGCTGGTGCTTATCCCAGAGGAACAGCCCAAGGGCCACCTCAGTCTGCCAGGCTCAGTCTGCCAGGCTCTCTGCCCTCCCTCCTGGGCTAATGGAACTTCTCGGAGGCTGGGGGTTCAGAGCCTCTCTCCCACCGACGATGTTCAGAGCTGGATCAGAAGGATGGGGGGCAGAAAGTGGTATGGGCACCTTAGCAACTATGTCTCTGCTGGCCTGCCCCCAAAGACCCTGGGGTCCCCTGAGGAGGGTCTTGAGGCGTTGCTCAGCAGCCCGAAGGAAGGGGAACCTGAGAGAGGGGATGGATGTAGACAGAGAGGATGGGGCTGCGGGTGGGAGTGAGAGCTATCACCGGTAGTCATTCCACGTAGGTTTCATCTTTGAACTTCACAACTCTCCTGTTAGGATTATGTTCCATTTGTATAGGAGCCCTGGTGGCACCGTGGTTATGCATTGAACTGCTAACCATAAAGCCAGTAGTTCGAAACCACCAGCCACTCCTCGGGAGAAAGATGAGGCTTTCCATTCCCATGAAGAGATACAGGCTTGGAAGCCCACAGGGGCAGTTCTACCCTGTCCTAGAGGGTCGCTGTGAGTCAGAATCGACTCGATTGTAGTGACTTTGTTGTTGTTGTTTTTACAGGGGAGGAGACAGGCTCAGACAAGTAATGTGAGTTGCTTAGGCTCACACAGCTAAGAAATGCCAGAGCCAGGGGTTGCCCTCGGGGTCTGTGGCCACGTGTGCAGCAGCCTTGATGGAGTGGAAGGTTCACTGCAGTGCTACGGAGACTGAGTTTAGATCCTGGGTCTGCCACTTCCCAGTTAGGTACCCTTGGATAAGCCACCTCACCTACATGAACCTCTGTTTCCTTATCTGGAGTGATCATCACAGCTGGGGTTCACCCTCTGAGCTCAACACCTATGCACATTTTGCCTCCAACAGACCCCCCCGCAAAAGCCTTCAGGTGAGCATCCTCCGTGCTGTTCAGAAGAGGGCCCTGAAGCACAGAGAGGTCGTGGGACCTACAGAAGGTCACCCAGCTGGCACGTTAAGGGCCCAGGATCCAAACCCCGGTGGCCTCGCCCTGCTATGGCACAATGTCCACCTCGGCCATGGCTGTGGATTTTAAGGGAAACCATTTCTGCGAAGATCATTAACACAAGCATTCTCTTCTTCGAAATCTAGCCCTCGTTCACCTTGATGGTTCTGAAGGTGAGGCCGGGGACGAGGCCGAGGAAATTCTACCGAGGCGGACTGCGGTGGGTGCTGTCCGTCGGAGGCGGGAGGAAGAGCTGGCCTGGCCGCTTCCCACGGAGGAAAACCTTCCCAGGGGCCTGGCGACTAGACTTGAAACCGGATTCCTGCTCCAGCCTCTGCATCTGGCGCAGGATCCCATCCTAGAGGCCCCTCGGCCTGGCCCTTTGCCCTTGGAAGGGGTGGTCCCTGGGTCACGGTGGGGTAGGTGGAGAGGTCAGGAGGGGCAGCCGGCAGGGGGCATGTCAGGGGGGCGCGCTGAGCTGGAAATGCAAGGCCCTGGCACCCCGGCGCCCACACAGCTGCCGGTGTCTGTCAGCCCCCCCCACCCCCACCCGCGGGACACGGCCAGGGGTCTGGTGGTCTCTACATCTTCCTGACAGGCCGCTCTTCTGAGGCCAGGAAAGAACAACAACAGCCCCTCCCCTCCCAGCAACCCGTTTGTTGGATGGAGGCTGGGGGCCAGCACCTTTACCCTCCTCAAAGTCAGCAGGGCCCACGTCAAGGCGCTGCAGGCCCGGGAGACAGAGATGGATGGAGATGGCTGTTTGTAGAGAAAGCCCTGTGGCCAGGCTGCCAGGACACCAGGGCTTTCAGGAAGGGAGGGGACCCGGTTCTGGTTGGTGTGGTGGTAGGCGGTGGGGGAGGGGGCAGGAGGAGGAAGAGGAAAGGCTTGCGTGGGGAGGAGGGCCTCTGAGGGTCCCCGAGGAGGACATTCTGCTGGGCCACACCATGGAATTGCTGCAATTTCCTGTGATGCACACAACCAGCAAGCCATCCTTGGCATGAGACCTGCTTCCTCACGGGGCCACCCCACCCACTCGAGACCGGAAGTGCCTGGTGTGGGGAAAAGCCTGGGACCTAGGCTGGAGAGCCGGGTTCCTGGGGACCCCCGGCTCTCCTCTGGCTGGGTGGTCTCAGGCAAGCCACACCTCGGCGGCGTGGAGGCTCCTTTTTCTCCTGGGGTGGCCGCGCAGGTGAATGAGTGTGGCCACCTGGGAACAGAGCCTGCTGGCGGTGAAGGGCCCCCTGCTGCTGTCTCCTTCCTTAAGCTTGCCCACCCACTGGGCAGGTCACGCCCGTTGCTGAGTGAATGGTCTAATGTGAAAACTACCCAGTCCAGCCCAGCCCCCAAAGGCCTTCTTTGTCAACGTTACTCAAGAGGTCAAGATCATAGCCTTAGGAGTCAGGGGGGTTGAGTCCAAATCCCAGCTCTGCCCCAATGTAAGCTGGATGGTTTTAGCACCCGCGCCTCAGTTTCCTCAACTGTAAAACGAGGATCAACCCTTCCTTCTGTCGCCACCGGGCCGCAAAGGGAATGGGTGACGTGGTTCATGGAAGCGCTGGTTGTAGGCCAGCACACAGTAGGTGCGTGTTAAGTGGTCACTTCTGGCTGCTGCTGCTGCTCCCTGAGATTCCCACCTTAAGGACAATCCCAGAAGGGCCCTGCGAAATGTTCATGTGCCTGAGAGGGGACCAGATCAGGTCATTCGTAGGCACTCAGGCCGTCCAACAAGTGACGTCACTGAGACCGTGGAGGCCTCGCAAGGCCTGGGAGAGTGGGCAGGACACGAACAAGTGCGGCTGCTGCTGCTAAGTGCCATCGAGTCGGTGGTCACCCAGCGTGACCCCTGCGCCCAACGGAACAAAACGTTGCCCGGCCTGTGCCACGCACACTGACGCTCCTGTGCTTGAGCCCATTGCTGCAACCACGGTGCCTGCCCACCTTGTCCAGGCCGCCCTCTTTTTTGCTGCCCCTCTTCTTTGCCAAGCAGGAGGTCCTTCTCCGGGGACTGGGCTCTCCTGACAACCTGTCCCAGGCACATGAGGCGAGGTCTCTCCATCCGGGGCTCTAAGGAGCCCGAGTGCTGAGGATGGTGGACGCACCTCCGGACGGCAGGGCCTCTCCTTGGGCCTGGTAGTCACTGAGTCTGCCCTGTGCTTCGCAGAAGGCGTTGAAGCAGCAAGCTCCCTCCTGTCTGCCAGCCTGCCCTCCGGGGCTTGTGGGAGGCTCAAAGGAGGGGGCGCAGGGGCGGAGCTGAGCAGAGCACGTGACAGGTCCTCGTGGTCGGGGCCAAGACGGTTCACCCCAAGGACCCAAGAATGGGACCTTTCTCTGAGTTGCAGAAATCAATGCGTTCATGACAACTTCCTCAGATGATGTCTTCTCTCGTGTCTGTGATTTTCACACCATTGGTGCTGGCCGCCACCGGGCTGCTTCCTAGGTTACAGGCAGATGACGGACACACATGGTGGCCCGCAGAATGGCCACCGAGCTGAGCCTTGTTC